AGGTTGTTAAATACAAAGAAAAGCTAAAGGCTTTAATGTGCTCTTACTTCCATGCCAGGAGAGAGGGAACAAAACTCACATTATGACTTCATTGATCGTATGATAAACTAGGGTTTGTTGTTATATCCAGATACAGTCACAGTGAACCTTCTCTGAATCATGGTGGATGGAAAAGTTTATAATCAGTTACAGGATTTGGTAAAGTTACCTCAGAACCTCTTCTGCTTGCCAGGAAGCATCTTCTTCTTCTTCCCAAGCATTTTTGTTTTCCTGCCATGTCTCCAAGTCTCCTAGTTCTGGCTGCAAATGGAAATTAATTAGTATTTCCAAAATACTGTTTCACGCTAGTGAGTAATTATTCTAATAAAGTACTGCAATTCAAATTTTGGAAAACATAACTTCCTTATTCCTGGAAAGCATTGAAGAGAGACTTATGGACAGCAATTTTCTTTGAATGAATTCATTGTAATACAGAAAAAACCTACCCACTTTCAAATGCTAGCTAATACTTTCTTAATTAACATGTTCTCATATATCTGTTACAGGCAGTCCTTGGCTTAGGTCCATTTGTTCAGTGATTGCAGCAGCACTGAAAAAAATTGGCGTACGATTGATTCTCAAAGTTTTGGCCATCACTATAGTCACATGATCACCATGAGTTCCTAGCTCACAATCACAACATCATAGAAAGCCATGGCCACATGGCTGCCATTTGTAACCTTTCCTACCAGCTTCCCACAAGCAGTTAGTGGGGAAGCCAGCATGGAAGGTCGCAGGTTGTTCTGGTAAGTCCCCTAGGCTTTCCTGTGCTTGCGCCACACCGTTCACCCCATGGTCTTCCTGCACTTATGCAGCACTCCTCGCCCCATAATCTTGCATCACTACACCCTCCACATGGCCTTCTTTCATTCACACAGCACCACACGCCCTATCCTACTGCGCTGGTATAGTACCACACCCACCATTCAATGGCCTTCCTGCACTTGCATGGCTCCCTGAATCCGATAGTCTTGTGTCACTGTAACCGCCACCCCATGGCCACTGCATATCTTGGAGTTATGACGGTAAGAAAGACTGCTAGGATTGTTGTCACTAATCAATGTAGTCACATGACACCATTCTTTATAACTACATCGCTTAGTAACAGCAATCTACACTAGTAAGTTCTTGGTCATCGTCCTCTCACTTCCTAATTCTTGGTAGGGTAAGCATATTTCTTTTTATTATGCTTAAAAATTTAGGGGATTGTGCCTATTAACTGCATAGGTGGGACAACACAAAAAAATGCTTTTGCAAAACATTCCAAAATTCCAATTATTCACAATCATGTTCTTCTTCCACATCAACCTCCTCTCTCACCTTCACATACTTGAGTAAATGTCTGAGCTTCCCAATATAAACCCATACTTGCTCACCAAGATCTATTTTATCATGTTCAATTAAACATACTTAATAAACTAATCCACCTGTAGTTTTTGCCTTTGCTTTTGCTCTCCTTTAGTTGCATTCCTTTAGTTGTCAGGCACATTTGCAGCCACATTAAGCAAATTCCAGAGCCAGTCCATAGATAAAACATATCCATACATTAATATTTCTCAACTATACTATCTAATTCTGCAACCTCTCATTTTTTAATATTGCCACATTTATGATTTCTTTTTCATCAATTCTTTTTGGATGCTAACATATAAAAAATGTTTCATTTTAGTCTTCAGTATAACGCTATCAGTTCCAACCAAGTCTCTAAAATACCCATTCCAGCATCCCTTCACTTAGATTTCGTTCCAAATTATTTCATCAGTTTTATTTTTAATTTTATTCAAATACTTGGCATGTTGATCTGAAAATTCATGAAAAACCGAGGAAGGGGTTATGTAAAAAGCAAGTTGAAGTACATAAATATGAATACCTTGGTAGACTATTTACTAAATGTGGGAGAATGAATGGGAAAAATTAGATATGCAGATGTTGATTGAAAGGTAATAGGTAATACATGACCTATGGTAAGGGATAAAAATTGTTGAAAGAAGCAAAACTGCATGTTTTTTAAATAAAAGTGAGAATTTGGAATGACAGGAGAAACAGGTGAATTCATTAGAGTACCTAAGATCAGTATGAGATTTTTTTTTTTACACAACTTCAGGCTTTATTAGATTATGGCTATCAATTTGTCTTACCTATGCCCCCCCACAAAACCTCAACAGCTAGTATTCCTTCTTTAAGACATTCTGGAAATTATACATACAAAAATATTTATGATAAAGAAGTTACTTACAGATTGATGGATAAAAGGAACATCTGGTGTAGCTGCTAATCTACTTGAAAATCCGGCACTACCATCTTGGTTGCCAAAATTTAAAGGTTCACGTTTTTTAACAATGATCTGAAAAGCATGAATTGAAAGTAGTAATTTTCAATGTTGCTATTTATTAACAAATAAAATTGGAAACTTATTAACCCAACTATAAAAACGGATGTCACGCAACAATGCCATGTTCGCTGTTTCACAGATGTCAACTTACATTTCCGGCCAGTGCAAGAGCAGCAGTGGGCCTGAACCCTGCAAAAATTTCCCATCCCTTTTTCAATCAATCAAAGCATCCTTAGCTCTGTCAGCTCAACCATTTGATTTCTGGTTAGCAACTTGGAAGTGGAACTGGCTGCAAGAGCAGCTCCTCTCTCTTTCCATGCTGCTCTTCTGACATGGCTCCTCTTAGGGCCCTATACTCGGGGGGCTACCAGATTTAGACTATAAAATCAGACACTGTAGCAAAAACTCTTTTCACTGTTGCCTTTGGACACCTGGATTTTGCAGGCTGAATACAGAAGTCCAATGACGATTGTTAAAAGCATGAGGCCAAAAAAAATGAGGATAAGGAGAAGACCAGCAGGATTTCCTGTGCTTCCATGCCCAAGACCACTTCTTCTCTTGTCTTCACTACAATTAAGCCACTGCTTTCCAACCTTCTCTTTTTTTGGCTACCAGGGGTCAGCCATCTTCCTGAGCTAAGTTTAACTCCCAGTTATAAGCGAATATGGAAAGCACTGCTCTTCTTACATTTTTCATCAACCCGTAAGTATGGATGAAAAGGAAAAAAGTAATTTGTTTAAAAGGAGCAAATGCTTCTGTGCTGTTAACATCTACAAAAGAAATGGAAGGAAAGGGACATTTGCAAGCTAAAGGTATTTGCAGGCTTATTGACTTCTCGGATGGTCCAATGTTGTTTTCAAAAGCTTAGTGTCATGTGTCTGATTAACGAAACACTTAAAAGAACTTTCAGGCATTTTTTTAATCTAAAAGCCTTTATTAAGGTTACAGAGATGTCAGTACGGCATGGTGGATGCTAAGATCTGATTTTCTTTTCCGTTGCACATACATTCCAGGCATTTTTCCCTCCCCTATTTTGGGGTCATGATTCACATCTTCCAATTAACTTGGAAGATGTGATTCACTTCCGGTTCCTTTTTCCCGGGCTTTCCTTATTCTCCTCCCCTTTCACTGTTGCCTGATTTAACTATAAAAATACCAGACAGTTCTGCATATTGTCAAAGCAAGAATATACAGTATTTGCAGCGTTGACACTTAGCTGATTAGTATAATATACACTCCAGACTGTTCAGAATTCTATACCCTGAAATGTGTTATCTTTACACACACGCTTGGCCCTAATTACATGCAATATCCTTATTGCCTACTTATGGTAAGGGATAGGACTGAAACAAACTGAAGCAAATCCCTTTGACTCTGCATGTTTGCTTGCATGTAATAGGCTTTCCAGCTGCTTGATGGAATGAGGTGGGGCTTTACCACAGCATCAGTCAGAAGAGAGTTGGCATGCAATCCTTCAAAACCCTCAAACAAACATGTATAATCTCAGTGAATCCACATAACTTAATTCATGTGTAGCAATCAGTTTTGCTTTAAAACTTTTTTCTTTAACCTCACCCTTGATTAAAACTATATGGCTCAGCATATAAACTTATTAAAATGACTGGGAAATTATGTTAACATACCAAGTCGTCAAATGTGATTACGTTTCAAATGCAAAACAGAAAGGACGAAATAATGTAAATTATTTCTCACTATACATATATATTCTGCTGTACTCCCAAAGAACACAAACATAAAAGTCAGTAAACTCTGGGTAAAAATGAAGTTTTTTTTATGATACAAAACTGAAAGAAGAAAATTATTTTCTGCTTTGGCAGTTTCACACATATTAATGTCTATGATGATGAATTTAAATTGCTCAAAATGCTGCAGCTCTACTGGATACGATTATTTTTAAAGTACAGTAGTTAACTGCATAAGCTATCTAACTGAGCCACAGATAGAAAATGCCATGGTTGACTCGCTACGCACTCCTGCTCACAACCAGACAACAGACACAGGGAGGGAGGACGGAAAGTATTGAAATACAAGAGAGGCTTGGGAGAGAATTGAGGAATGCAAGTGAGCCATCGTAGCATGGGACAGTCCCAACACTCCAAGGTCAAACGCTGGGAAAACTTCGAGAGGCTCAGATTTTTTCCAAAACAAAATGAATGCAATTGATTGGTGGACAATGAACAGTGGGTAGGTCCAGGGGAAAAACGGGGATTTTATCTATGCTGGTTTCCGTGCAAAAACTTTAGAACTGGTTTTGCTACTTCTGTGCCTATGTGGATTTATCAGTAAAGTTATACTCTTGATAAAATAATGTCCCAGAAGTTTCTTTTGCTGCATTTACCAAAGGTATGGTTGACAGAAAACAATTTTCACTGCTAAATAACAACCACACTAGAAGGTAATATAAATTTTAGACTGTTGTGAGTGCTGAAAACATACTTTCTGTGTTTTCCTTATTGTTGGTGTCATGTCCTTAAAGTAATCAGGCTCCATTTCTTCCAATCCATTTTGTTGATTGGCTACACTGCCATTACCACCTTCAATTTTCACACTTGTAGGGGCATCTTCATCCCATGAAGACCAATCTTCTACTTCTGGCTAAAAAGAAAAGGGAAAGAGTTCCATTCTTTATTGGCCATCCAATGTGCATAATACATAATCTATTTGTATTGGGTCATTAGGTAGAATTAATTTTAAAAACTGATATCCAGATCATTCAATATATTACTTGTTTAGGAACAGATGAAAAATCCACAGTAGTTGGCAAAGTTATTTGGTCTCCACTAAGCTTTCGTCCTCTTCCAGTCCTGAAAAACAAAAGTTTCTTTTTAACTCTGACGCATTTGTTGAAAATGAAGTTGTAAATAAGAAATCATTTAAAAGCTATATTAAAAGTTAGAATACTTAAAAAACTTAGCTCTTTTTGTGTAATTTTAACTACAGAGAATCCTCAACTTATGACCACCATCAAGCCCAAAATTTCTGTTGCTAAACAAGACAGTTATTAAGTGAAATTTGCCTCATTTTATGAGCTTTCTTGCCACAGTTGTTAACTGAACTACTGTAATTGTTAACACTATTAATTGAATCTGGATTTCCCATTGACTTTGCTTGTCAGAAGATCACAAAAGGTGATCACAAGACCCTGGGATACTGCAACTGTCATAAATATGAGTCAGTTGTCAAGTGTCTAAATTTTGATCATGACTATGGGGCTGATACAATAGTTGTGCAAAAAATGTTCATAAGTCACTTTTTTCATTGCCGCTGTAACTTCGAATGGTTACTAAATGAACTGTTGTAAGTTGAGGACTACCCATACTGATTAAAATCCTAATTTAAGAATAAAACCAATAGTTCTATTTTCCAGATCTTTTTCTACCAATTTAAAATTTAAGACACATCTTCTACTATCCATATTATTCAAGGAATTTTTCACTAAGATGCAATGACGAGAAGTACAGTAGAATCAACATTTAAGAAATAAGCTAACTTTAAGAAAACAACTTAGTATGTCTATAAAACAGTACAGATTACATTATGGTATGACAACTATCACATTCATGCACATTTAGATGGATTTTCCTATAATATGTAAAGAAACTCAGACATTTCCCAATTGAAGAGATTTATATATTTGAGTGCTTCTCAGTACTAAAAGCATGTACCCCATTTTATTTCTACCACAGCATATAAAAAAATATGCATCATTAAACTTCCAAATCCTACAGATAGGTGAAAAGATTAGCATGCATGCTGGGCATGCATATTTGAAAGGGTAAAACATTATTAAAAAAATTAGTGTAGAAAACTGTAGCATATGTTTATAAAATCAAAACCTTAAGACAGGGGTGTCAAATTGCTGGCCCGCAGGCCGGATGCGTCACACGGAAGCTGCACCCACCCCACCTCCGGCAAGGGGAAAAAAGTCACGATACACGGCGAGTTTGACACCCCTGCCTTAAGAGCAAAGTAACTTTATAAAGACAGAGAAAACAGTAAAAACAAAAAGCAGGTCTGTCAGAAAGTAAAGCAAAATATTCCTGTTCCAATCATCAGAATTTTCAAGAGAAATTGCCATTCCTTTTCCTTTATAAATCAAATCAAATATTAGATTCTTTTGCCCTAAAGATTATAATAACTACTGATGCAGCAAAAGTGCTTTGAAAATAAAAGTTAAAGGTTATTGCATGTCTCTGCATTTTTTCTGTTGTGATAAAAACTAAACAAAGATGAATATGTGGTTCCTTAGATCTTTAGAAATTATTTTTACAAATATTTTCTGAATATATACTTATTCCTATTTAACAGAAGTAGTATCTATAATTTCAGGTAACAATTCACAGCAGTTCTCAAAACATACAAAACTTAACCATAGCAGAATACTAGTATTATATTACTAACTGTCCTTCTTTATATTATGTGACTTTGTGGCTTTTTCCTGACTGAAAAATATATATTATTTTCCCTTTCTCTGAATACTTGAGATATATATTAATTCAATCAATTACTCATTTTATGTATGCAAAGAAAGAAGCACACACTTACAAAACAAGTTCTTGTATAAATATTTGTATCATACATATTTATTTTTAAGTGGTAAAACTAATCACATGACACCGTAGTTTTCTGTTTTTCTAAGCATTATTATATCAGTTTCTTTAGCTATACAAAGATAATAGAAAGGACGTTAATAATTTTTTAAAAACCTCAATGCAACTTCAAATTATGCCACTATTCATTGTTCAATTAAGGAAGAAATTTCACTTTATGTTTGTAACCATTTTAAACCTTCATAAAAAAAAACTATTAAAGGAATACTACATTCCCCTTTCCCCAATTTGAAACACACACAAAGAAAACTCTCAAGAGTAATAAGGCAGAAATTTTAGAGGAAAAATCAGAGCAAACTCACATGCAACATTTGATATTTACCTGCAAATCAATCTTTTAAAAAAAGATAGTACTGCTGCCAAGCATGTACAAATTTTAAATAGACGGAACTGTGTAATTGCCATGATGAAAGACTTCACCTGAAAAAGAGGAGAAAATGTACTGATAAGCGTAATGCTGTTTGGATGCTTTTGCAGCCATAGGCGCTAAGAGAAGTCTGCACATACATTTCAATGTAGCTACAACCCATAAGTGCGACTTCAAATGCATATTGCTAACAAAAGTCAAAAGGAAAGTGTGGTATTGATGAACATTTAATGCAATTCGCAGTGCTAGTCTGCAAGTAGGATTGCTATATCCAAATATCCCACTGATTTTTAAGAAATCAAGAATACTAGTGGAATATATATTCATACTGTGCTAGACCTCAACAAAAACTGTCAGAATCTATAGACATCTAAAGCACTTCAACAATGGAAAATGTTTTTTTTTCCTGACAAGGTGGGCCAGCAAGTTAATTGGTTAACTAGCTCAATAACTTAATCGTGGATGGTTTGGGCAGGATGCTCAAGTCATTATGGTGCACTATTTGTGCTTCCTTTCCAAATCATATTGTCATCTATTCCATTTCCACATTCCCATTAGCTTTCTTTGATATCCCAACTAGGTGCATTACAATTAATACTAAGAGTGAGAATGAGAATGTGTCTCTGAACTAACAAGGAAAAAACATTTAAAAAAAACCCTAATTTGGATGAAAACTGTTTGCAGAAATATTTGTCCGTCAGAGTAAGAGGAAAGAAAAGCTCCAGGAAAGTAGAAGATGGATGAATAGGATCAAGCTATTCATCAAATAGTTTGAGCCTACTCAAATAGCAAATTTTCAAAGCTAAACTATATTTTGGTTACAATATCTGAACTTTTGGCTACAATGTCTGAACTGGTTCAATATAATGAAGATTGAATTCAAATGTTAGGCTTCTTTCAATCTTCTTCCTAGCATTATTCCCGCACTATGGCAGGGTCCGCTTAAGGCTTCTTTCAATGTTAATTGAAAAGGTTGCTTTAAAGCAGTTCAGCAACAGAGTGGCAAAAACCATGTTATTTCTAAAACACCTTGGCAAAGTCTCAAAAAATTATGAGATTGCTTGGCCTCATATGTACCTGTGTACCTATGTGTCAAAGAAACAACTAGTCCACAATAAAAAGCTGCTTTTATGGAAGTCTATTTTAAAAATATGCTCCAAACTATCAAACAAGTTAAATGACACACAAAAGATGCTGTTGCCTAATGTTTGTTTCCTTAGAGTCAACTACCCAGGAAAATCCCTGCATTTTCTGAAGTAGTTTATCATTGCCTCTTTCCTAGGGCTGGGAACAAATGATTGGCCTAGGTCATCGAGCTATCTTTGTGCCTAAGGCAGGACTAGAATTCACAGTCTCCAGATTTTTAGTTTGGTGCTTTAATCGCTACACCAAACTAGCTCTTTTTCCTAAAGCTACAGGAGCAGTAAATCTTAAAATTTTGAGTAAATGGTTTTTATAAAAACAATGTATGAATTGTATGCATTATATCTTTTTCAGT